GTAACCATACTTGCGGATGGATCGATGCAAGAAATCGCTTTCTCAATCCAAATACTGGAGATCCCAGATGCGGAACACGAAGGAACAAAGACGTAGCGACTCATCTGTTAACATTCCACTGTGAATCCGTTTCCAGGACAGTGAAAAAGGAGAAATGGTCGGCAGGGCGATGAATCATGGCGTCAACAAAGGGGAGTACGGAAGCCCTTTGAGCCGGATAGAGGGAGAAAGAGTTAAGCTTCGTCGTCAGGGAATTCATGAAAAGGGTAGAAATAAGTCGGCCACGGAAGCAGAGAAAGAAGAAACGCCAAAAGTCTGGGATAATATGCCTCCCCCGAAGTTGGACTCCACGCAAACCAATCAGCTCTAGGACGCGTCGGTGGGGCCTCGTCTCCCTCTGTCTACGGACGTCTTCATCCGTTTAAATGCTTCCCTTTAATTACTGTGTTCGTCTGTCTTTCACGAAGAGCCTTTCATCCATTCGAGGAGTTTGTTTTTCACTCCACCTGAACTCGTCTCTGCAGGGCGTCTAAGTCTCCTCTGAGGATGATTCTATTCCCGGACCGTCGGTGTTGCCATGGACAACATGAACAACACAGAACAGTTTGACTTTTTTTTAACACTTTTTCTCAGTGTGTTTCTGTGTTTCGTCGCATAGGGAGCATGTGCGTGTTGTTTATGTGCCATTATCATTACTCTAATGATAAGATTGATAATGATACCGCAGTTATCAGTAAAGCTAATCGTCTCTGTTCTACTAAAAACGATACATCGGTCACCTTATAACTGCTAGTGTATTCTTATTACCTGTAAAATGTGTAATGCCGTGTTAACATTCTCCTATTTTGACAACATAACTTACATTAATACCTCATAAACCTGTAAATCGCCATAATTCTTTTTTTTCTTGGAGGAATCAAACACATCCTGTTTTTTGTTGTTGTCCCCATCGTTATCAATACAAGTTCGAAACAGGCAGCAACAGGAATTTTTACGACGCCCTAACACTTTGTAATCAACCGATAAGACTGGCCTCAGACCCAATCACGGTACACATTCCCACGTTTCTGTCCACATAACGTCTGGTTGATAAGACGAAAGAAAAAAAAAGAGGCGGGGCTTACTAACAATAACCAAAAGACAGAATAACAGTTAACGACTGTTATCACCTCGCTCTATATAAGAAACAAGGGCCATTTACACTATCATTTGGTGGCGTTTGGCGTGTGGTGTGGGGTTGGTGGTCATCATGTCAGTTAATAATCCGACACCTGGGAGTGTGGGTAAATACACACCCTATTTCTTCTTCTCGAGTTACGTGCTTTCCGACAGGTTAATTTCGTTCAAGAAGCCTTCACTGTGATTGGTGATTTTTTTTTTTTTTTTTTTTTGATTGTGGTGATTCATTTGATTTATTTAGGATTTTTATATATTGGATCTTTTTCAGATCAGGGTTTCTTATCAAAAGTGCGAGATGAAGATGTACCGAAAATGCTTTTCCTCTCTGTCAATCCTAACAAGGTAAGTTTTGCCGATCATGCGCATAAACACACACACACACACACACACACACACACACACACACACACACACACACACACACACACACACACACACACACACACACACACACACAACCATATATATACATTAACAAACTAGCAATAAGAGTGAAAAACGACATAACGAAAGCAGTAAAATGTTATACTGCAATACTCCTTGTTCTGTTACCGTTTCAAATAACATCATGGTGAAATGGACTTAACAGATTGAAGAGCAAGGCACCACCAGCGCGGCTTCTGGGTATACTGACGGCGTCAGCATTGGCAAGAAAGTCGTGGTGTCAGAGTTCCGCTCAGAAGAAACGTCAGATTCCGTCACACGATTGATAGAGAAATTTGAGGTAATATCAAGTGCTTAAGTTTCATTAATCTGCTTCATAATGGAAAATACAGGAGGACTAGGAATCAGTTTGTTAATACTGAAAGAATGTTTTAACACTTTTTTTTTATTTCTTAGCTATTTGTTTATAATTTATCCTCATTTTCATTTTTTTTTCTTTATTGCAGAAATCACTGAGCGAGAAGAGCATCACCCCAGTCCGTCGGGAACTGCAACTCCGCATCCTCAAACTCAGCAGTGTGGAGCTGAACACCAACACCCTCAGCACCCTGGAGAGCAACTTCTCCGACGAGAACGACCAGCTGAGCAATGACGAGGAAGACATTCTGGAATTCACCGAAATCTTCGAGATGTTCAACTTATCCGCGCCCGAGAACATCAAAGTCAACTTCGGGAATATCATTTCGAGCAAGAAGATCCCGCTGAAGAGAGGCGACATCGGGAACTACAGCAAGAAGACGTTCTTCGTGTACGCGGAGAACAAGATCATGATGAAAATCTGCGACTCCCTCTCTCCTCTGGACGTCTATCGCCTCTACGAGATCATCAGGGAGTCGAAGGCCACCGAGAATGATGACAAAGTGAAGGACCTCTTGTCTCAGCAGATCGATCAAAGGGCGCTGGAGAAAGTGCGTGGCCTGAAGGACGTCGCTTTTTACTACCTCACGCTCACGATGATGAGGAAACAGCTCCTCAACCGCCTGTACACTCACAGACTCGCTTTCCTCTTCGACCAGCTGAAGGAAATGAAGAGCGGAAAAGACCCCAACATCGACCGCATTCTGGACACCCTCAACCGATACCCTGTGGCTTCTCGACCCCCGGGGCTGTGCATTGTGTTCAACATGTTGCAGAACCGAGAAGGGGCGGCCAAGGACCTCACCAAAGTGAAGGAACTGTTTGAGAAGGAATATAAGTACGATGTCTTCGTGAAAGTTGACCCCACAGCTGAAGAAATAAAGACTATTGTCAGCAAACTGAAGGCAGCAAGGAACAAGTTTTACGACAGGTAATCATAAATTTCTTCTTTCACAATATGCATGGACCATTGAGTTCTAAGACGTTCACTGAAAAAAAGAAACAAAAGGTTTAAATGCCACATATCATTTCAGGGCAGGAAATTAATCACGTTATCAGTATAATTGATTTTAAAGTAAATCAAACAATGACAAAAAAACAGGTCTGTTTGCTACAATTAATCTGAACAAAAGTCAAACATAATTAGTCTTCGTAAAACGAAGCAAAAGCCGATTTACCACAAAATTTACCACATATCAATACAATTAATCTCACCATAAATCAAACACAATAAATCTTCAAAGAAAACGAGACGTAGGTCTACATCACACAGCTAATTTAGGGGGAGACCATTCTAAACCAAACGTCACTCATTCCCAGCTTGGTCGTGTGGTTCATGGGTCACGGTGACAAAACTTACCTCACAGTGAAGAATGAACAGCGTATTCACCGGCGCACCGACCTCATCCAACCATTCACGGAAATTGAGTGGTTTAACAAGAAGCCCAAACTTTTCTTCATACAGGCGTGCGCTGTGAAGAAAGACCGAAAGAGGTTCTCGTCAACGTGTGAGTTTTTGAGATTCCTTGCGTTTGTTTGACGTTATTTCTGTCATGTTTTTTTTTTTTATGTGATTCAAAATTGTGTCTATTATTTCTTTTCTGGCATTGTTTTTGCATGAATGTTCCTACTTGGAAAAGGTGGGAAATTTACACGGTCAAGAACAAAAGATTGTCATAAAAGGCCATTTTGATTAAAAAAAAATAAAATAAATAATAATAAAAAATAAAAAATAATAATAATATAAAATAAATAATTCTGTTTATAAATTTTCAGAAAAAGTCATACAGATTGTTTCAGTGATTCAACATACTAAGCTGAATGAATCGAAGACTTTTAAGACATATTTCTCCTAGTTTACACAACGAGAAATATAATATTTTTGTATTTTGGTGCTTTCATAATTCCTATATTGGGCATTTTAGCACAAAGATGTATGATTTAGTTGTAACTTTGGAAACAATTGCCAGTGTGGATTAAAAAAGGTTTGGTGTTAGGTCAATCTCATTTCTTTTTCTTCTTTTTTATTGAACAATTCCAGTTAGCAGTGCTAGAAATATTTCCTGAATAAAGCCAGATTAATGAAGATGAATAAAATTTCCCTATGATGTAAAGCCCCTGTGATAGGACTAAAATAAATAAAAAAAACAAAAAATACCTCCCCCCCCGTCTCTCTCTCTCTCTCTCTCTCTCTCTCTCTCTCTCTCTCTCTCTCTCTCTCTCTCTCTCTCTCTCTCTCTCTCTCTCTCTCTCTCTCTCTCTTCTCTCTCTCTCTTCCCCCCCTCTCCCTCTCTCTTTGTTCTTCTCTTTTCTCTTGCTTCTGATATTCTTCCTCTTCCTTCCCCCCCATCCATCCATCCCCCTTTACCCTCCTGCATTCTCGCAACCACTCTTTTACCCTCCAAAACCCCTCTTCCCCCCCTTCCCTCCTTGACCTTCCCCCCCACCCTCCTTCCTCCTCCTTCCCCCCACCCCTCCTCCTCTTCCTCCTTCTCCTCCCCCCCCCCCCCTCCTTCCTCCCTCCTTCCCCCCCACCCCTCCTTTCCTCCTCCTTCCCCCCCACCCCTCCCCCCCCCTCCTTCCTCCTCCTTCCCCCCCCCCCTCCTTCCTCCTCCTTCCCCCCACCCCTCCTTCCTCCTCCTTCCCCACCCCCCTCCTCCCCCCCCCATCCCTCCTTCTTCTTCCTTCCCCCCATCCCTCCCTTCCTCCTTCCTCCTCCCCCCCCCCCCCTCCTCCTATCCCCTCCTCCTCCTATCCTATCCCCCACCCCTCCTTCCTCCTCTAACCCTCCAAAACCTACTTCACAGCGCAGCCCAAAGAACTGCAAGGTCTCCAGGCATCCACGGACTCCATCGGTTGGCGTGCCCGGCCAGTAGCGAGTGGCAGGATAAGTACGCGAGCTACACCGACGTCTCACAAGTGAACTCCTTCGCTGACACGCTCATCTCCTATGCGACTATGTGGTACCAGTACGCTTCCAGAGGCGAGGAAGGTAATGTGTATATATATATGACTGTTCTGGGGGTCGTCGTGTGTGTGATGTGCTCAGGTGGAATGGGAAGTGGCATGTTTTTGTGTGTATTTGTGGTATTCCAAATTGACTGATACTCTTAGACCAATTAAATAAGTAGTTACGCACATGTACACACACACACACACGCACACACACACACACACACACACACCACACACACACACACACACACACACACACACACACACACACACACACACACACACACACACACACACGCATATGGACCCACCCACACACTTGCTCACACTCACACAGGCATGCACACGCATCTACAAAATTCCTCCCAGTCACAATGATAAGTAAGTACTACATTTAATTAAAGCAAGCAAAAATCATTCATTAATCTTTTTTCCCTAGGTTCACTCTATGTTGACACACTGGTGGACCAGCTGAGGCAATACGGATGCAGGGAGAGTGTAGAAAATGTTCTTCGTCGTGTTCATTACAACGTGAACACAGTGGCTCTCTTGCACAGTGAACATGGCCAGGACATTACGTGGAAGCAGGCACCTTACTTTGAATCCTCACTACAAAAGGCTTTCATATTCCCTAAGCCTGAAAAACCAGCGGCTGGCGTGGGTCAATAAATTGGAGGGATTTATAACGATACAGAACAGATATATATATAAGCACACTTAGAGTTATAACCTCCCATGAACATATATATAACCATGCACTATGCAACCATAAAGATGTATGTATACTTCTACAAACTTAGTTGAGGGAGGGAAGGGGCAAAGGTCTTAAGATAAGAAATGTGTTGTCTAGATTTAAGTACCTTACATTGTTACTTTTTTATATATTATCATTCATTCCATGACAGGCTGTAAAAGTTTCTTCATTAAAATTACATGTTATTCTAGTCGTCATAAGTATACTCAAAAGCTTTTTAAATTTCATTTAGAATTATCATAAATATACATGTGTTTTTGTTAAATGATTAAAATGATTAAATTGTTTTTTGTTTTTTTTATTCTTGTGTAACGTTGATAACATAATTTACATATGATGTGACTTTTTAACTTTGAAGAAACCACATGGTCATAAAATGTTAACACCATTGTTAACACCATTGGAATCGGAGAAAATCTTTTGGCTAAAAACACTTCATCTTCCATCTTTTTCTTGAGTAACTACTATATAAAAGATATCAACTACATACATTTAGTCTATATTGACGACCATCGAAAATTCAATGGAAAACTCTCTACTGATCTAAATGTGTAATAGTTAAACATCATATGCAAACAAGTGATTGGGAAAAGTGTAGATATCTAAAATACTGCACATAATTAATTACTGAACTGAAAACAGTGAAAATATGTAGGTCGGATACGAAGAAAAAGGTGTCATAATGAACAATACTCATTCAGAGACACATGTAAAATCAAATAATCATAGGACCAATCAAGTATTTTTTCATTTGAAGACATTTTTTCGGTCTAGCTGGGGTTACATATATTACTGATATTAGTATTCCACATGTTAAAATATGTTCATGAAATAAGAAGGGAAGAATTCATATATAGAAAGACAAGGTTTCTACGTCTCCTGTTCAGTACAAACTATTCTGATGAAATTACAATGTTTTTGTATTTGGCTGTCAATAAGTATAAGCATCTACTGGAGTCCTGGAGTGGGAATGGCCACCAAACCACATCGGCTTCTGGCTCAGTGGCTTCTTTAGAACATACATCCTATATTCACTTGGATACGGGACCTCAATTTGCTTTTGATTTCAATAATGAAGCAAGGAGATTCTTGAAATACGAAGTCCTAAGACTTTTACTCTGACCTTCAGACATTTTACAACTATATAGTATATGTTCTCCTCTAGTATATCTCGGTGAAATTACAGATACGCTCTTATTTACTAATATGCTTTCTAGTGGTCTAGTAATGTACACCTAACTGGAAAATCATGTGTACAAGTTAAACATTTAGTTTCCAACATTTTTCTTTTTCTGATGCAAATGAAGTGCCTATAAACTGTATGTGCAGTTTCCAACTATTACTTCTGTTTCTGTGAGTGTTGGTTTCTCTATTCCATTTTCTCTACTTACAATAAGGGTATGAGAACATATTAAAGGTTTTTGCGAAGTTCAGTTAAATAAGGTTGTTCAACTAAACAAAACAGTGATGAAGACTTCAGCTGTAATATCATATCTTTTGTAGTTCCCAACTATTACTTCTGTTTCTGTGAGTGTTGGTTTCTCTATTCCATTTTCTCTACTTACAATAAGGGTATGAGAACATATTAAAGGTTTTTGCGAAGTTCAGTTAAATATGTAAAATTGTACCACTATACATACACCAATATTGTAATCATCCCTGAAAGTTAGTTAACGCCAAAGGGTGAGGGTCTACTAATAACTACTATTACAGATAACTACGAATGGGACTCTCTTGTTTATAATTATGTCCTACCGTCAGTCTCTGGTTGGGCACTGCTAAAGCTTCACATTAAGGATCCACAACAAAACTGGTAATGTAGGCTACAGTGGAAAACTAGATAGTTTAAATGAATATCACACACTTCATTATTTTATTATGAAAGTCAGATGGTATATTTCATCCTTCTTTTGGATTGTAGATAAAATCATTATCCCTTAGCAACAAAACAACAGGTATTTCAGTCTTAACCCTTTCTGTTACTAAATTTCTGACTACGTATTTATCACATGCAAGAAAAGGGAGCAATAAAGATTATAAACAGAAATATTGGTGTAAATAAAATAATCAATATTGACTACACAATATCATCCCTAGAGAATCTAAACCCGTTATAAAATGTTAGTTTTCATGTGTGAAAATGCCATCTTTCTCTACAAACTCTCTTGAAGTGCAACTCTCAGAATGGTATATTTTCATCCTTCTTTTGGCAAAGATAAACATTATTTTTCTTAGCTAAACACAAAACAACAGGTATTTCAGTCTTAACCCCCTTATACTCACTACGCAATGATTTATCACATGACAACAAGCACAAATAGTGTTATAAAAATCAGAAACAAAATTCATTAATAAACCCACTACACAATATCAATATCATTCCCTATCCATAAAATCCCGTTCATAAACCTATCATCAGCTAGTGAACTCATCTTTAAGATTAAAAATGGATGCAACTTGATAAATGTATTTCAATTCAAACTAATGCAACTGAAATGGTTGCAAAGATAAATGTGCTCAATCTCAACTGTGGAATATTCAATTTGTAATGCACAAATACAGTGGCTTTTCATTTTCTGAATGAAAACTGAAGTAATTTTAGTGAACAATGGCTTAAAACACCGAACCGAATGTGTAAACTACGACAATAATCCTTTGGTAACAAAGCCAACTTTGGCAAGTGCCTGATATAATTAGGAAAAGAAAAGAAATATTAATTCACATATAACTAATTTCCCGCAAATACTGCTCAATATGTATGAAGTACATAAAAAGAGCTATCATGTTTTGTCACCTGGCAACCAGCAAAACATTTAAAACTATGCAAAGAATAGTTACTACACCCATACTAAATTGCAAACTCTATATGATAATAATTACTACTTAGCTGAGGTTTAGAGATGACTGATGTTAGCAATATAAGCTTGCAATGCCAATCCTCTGCACCCTAAAAAAACACAAAATGCATAAAAATACAGGCATACATAGATACTTACTTGTACAGTTATATACATGACTGTATGTATACGTACATATCACTACCTATAATTAGTTATGCATGCTGACATCATTTACCTCTACATGTGAACTTACAGAAATGAGTTTCTGTACTGCCTTTGGGACAGCCACTCACCATGGAGCACGATTACAGTTTGTAGTTTTGATTTATATTGGGTTCATAGTTGCTGTTTGGAGTCATGTTATACAGTATATTGCCTTATCTTATCAAAATTACCATCCTTAAGAAAAGAGGCCTGATTATTAGTAATGAGTAACAATCTTCACTTTGATCATTTATTATAATAATCCCACTTTACTATATGAGGCAAGTGTAAAAAAAAAAAAAAAAATTAAGAAAGAAAAAAGAAAAAATAAATAAAATAATACTAACAACAATAACAATAATAATAATAATAATAATAATAATAATAATAATAACAATAGAATAAATAAATCATCAACATCATTTGAATTTTGAAAAAACTTGCTCTCCATTAATCACGCATAACATATCACTTATTCATGAACATATTAGAGTAGAGCCGCACATTTGGCTACCAAAAATCGAAGATGTAGAGGATTTCAGAGAAAAGGAAGCCTCCTGTATCACTTCCGTCCAGCCTGTGTTGAGAAATGATCAATTGCAAAAGAGTATGGGATGGGGAATAAGCCGGACAATTTATTAACGAGAACAAGATGGACATAGGAAAAGATAAAAGATTAAATAAAAAAGCATGAGTATTGCATGAAAAACAAGTTAACAAGGTATGCAATGCGAGATACGAGCAAGAGGTGACCAAAATGCGGTACTTGAATTTGCATTGTCAGTGATAGCCTTCCCTCTCATTACTGTTAAATAAAGGACCAAGCTTTCCATTTTCTCCCTTTCATTTCATATCAAGATCTCTGAGAATGATCTTTAGCATCGAGCAAACAAAAAATTGTGAGGAGACTAAAACTAAAACTAATATAAGTTTTCAAAATTGTTTAATTATTTACACTAGACGAGCTTTTTCAGTATCAATTACTTGCCAAGTACAAGGCTTTACTGAATCATAATCTTGCCATTTAGTAGGCTGGCTTACAAAATCCTTTCTGCAATCCTTCACCAAGTATACAAACAACTGTTCTAGAACTCAAATAAGTTTTCTAACAAGAGCAGTAGGGAGAGGTCTTTAATCATTCATCTATTTTTTTTTTTTTTTTGCTTAAACTGTATTCATAGATAAATACAAAGTATGATTAAGCTATACGCTGGGAAAGTGAAAACCACATAACAGTTGTCTTTTATTTCCTTAAAAAAACATGCAACACTATAGAGAAATCAACAGAGTATATAAATGCCTTGTTATTTTCCGGATCAAGACATTATTTGGACCGAGCAAAGTCTACAACCCCCCAAAATAGGAATAAGTACTTACACGTCTAACTCTCACAGGAATCAGGGTACAGATATGCTTGAATCAAAAATAAAGGAACCTATTAGCAGTCCTGAAGACTTCCTGAATCACAGCGAAGAAATAAGAAGTTGGCCGTTTTACGAAACTCCAACAACAAAGTCTTCCTTTGCTTTTGATGCATCAAAAACAAGAAGTTCAAAAATCTTTCTCAGTAACCAAAACAATACAAAAGTCTGTTCAGGACTATCATCTCAGATCAAAAGAATTCACATCATACCCTAATCTTAAAATCATAATTTTCGAGGTTATGTAACCAGTCCTTTAACTTTAGGATTAAATTCAGGATACTGTATAAAATTGAGGAATAAATTGTACTTTTAATACCAATATTCAAGACCTAATTTTATCTCATTTGGACGTTTCTTCCTTACAGTTCATCATGAGAATCTATCATATATATATATATATATATATTCATAAACCTTTATATCATACCTATATATTTTCATTATACATACAATCATTTTATATATATATATATATATATATATATATATATATATATATATATATATATATATATATATATATATATATAATTTTAACTATGCTCAATTATAACAGAATACAGAAAACAAGACTATATTTTCTTGCATTGCTACAACAAGAGGGGCAGACACTGGTGGGAGAGGGCTGTCCCCTCCCCGTCTCAGATAATGCTAAGTATAAGTTGTAGTTAATTAAAAAGTTACATGAAAGAATTAAGATAAAAAAGATCTAGATGCACATTTTAAGATGAAAAAAAGATCTAGATGCACATCCAAAAGTGGATGGTCACCAAAATATTTCACGGAGGCCAAACTTCCATATCCTCTTCATCTCGCAATATCTCGCCAAGTGTCTGCCCCTGATAATGAAGAACATGGCTGCAAGCACCACTACAAAGCGATACAACCTTGCCCAATTAGGTGAGAAACTCTTGTGTAAATGTTGTGCTTCCCACTCTATGCTTTCAAGAAAAAAACAAATAAGAAAAGGCGTGTTGGCAAACTTTTCAAATACTAAGAGAAGCATGCTCCACAGTTGCTGCACCGTCGTTCCCTCATGGCTAGGCAGCACAGGATGCCGATGGGGAAGAACCAGAAAGCACAGCACAGACCAGCTAGAGTGAAGTCTTCACTGAGCACCCCCACCTGAAATGGAGACATCTCTTTGATATTGTGTACTTTTTTGTATCAATATATATTCTTTTTGTCAATTTACTTTTCTTCTGTACTTATCATTATTATGTAAAATTATATATCATCAAAAATATATCTAATGATTATCATATATATCGACAATCACAAGTACAGGCCAACACAACGTAAGAAAATTTGCATGTGTCCCTACATATATCCTGAAATAAGAATAGTCCAACCTAAATAATACATGTTATCAGTCATTTATCTTACTAACAATATTAAAAACCAAAATTCACTGAGCATCTGAACTAAACAAGATTCCACACTAACCCTACAAGCTGGGCATCCTCCAACGACAATAACATCTGCTCCCTGCACCGGCTGGACCACTACAGGTATGCTTCCATAACTTGGCTGTTGAGTGGTGATGATGGTTGTGCTAGCACCTGGGGTAGCACCAATGAATCCAATCTGCGTTGGCGGTGGTGGGGGTGGCATAGGCTGGTATGGAGGAGGAGGACCCGCTGGAAGGCAGAGTCATCTTGTTAAAAAAGTTAGATTCCTATCAAAATTATTTATGTAATCAGGGCACCTAGATGGATTAAGGTGTATGTATTTTTCTCCTATCTCACCTCAGTAGCACAATGGCATTGTGAAATAATACAAGTGTACTGGCTACTACAATGAGCTATCTCAAGGTTGCCAACCAAAAAATACAAATGAGAAGATATCCCCCCCCTTTGTCTTTGCTTCTGAACAAGCTAATTATTGTTTTTCATTGAAGCATAGAACAATAATGATTTAGGTTAAATTTGGAAAGCTGTAGTGTCCCTGGAGCCATAAATCTCCATGGAGAACATACACTAGTCTCCATTGTTGTTATGTATAAATACGAACCACAATTTGGGCCCATTGTTCATCATCATTGGGTTAAGTAGTAAATTTTATAACAAGAGATCAATTACTATCATATTTCAAATTTCCTTCCTTAAAATATTCAACAGTAAAACTATAGTAAACCTCTTGTTAATGCTAGATCATTTAAAGTCAATGAATTCTGATATGGTAGTAGTTATTCAGCACAGGATCTATGTCTTCCCTAGTTAGAACCTAAAAAAAAATTGCTTGTATGACATCTATTATTGAGAAACCTTTCATACAGAAAGTTAAAGTAAAGAAGAAAAGTACTAAGCTTAAAACTATTGTCACAGCTAGACTCGCTTCTTATCAGCAGCTATTCAATATCTTTTTTTTTTTTATAAACTTTTACGAGTACGTGAAAAGTTTTGGCACACGTTAAAGGTGCACTGAAGAAGAAACTCACCTTGTTTCAAATTTACACATGCTATGGAAAAGCTTTATCCAATCTAAGATCTTTGCTTAAAGTGCCGCACTTACTGATTTGCCAATCACCAAGCATTCAAAACAATTAAATACTGCTTGACCTAATATCTGTACAATTCAGGAGTGTAATGGTCTAAAAATGCAACAATTTTCTATAGCTTTAACCATTTGTATTTAATTTCAACATAAAAAGATCAACGTTTACAATTACTTTTGTAATGGCAGATAAATAAGCTAAAAATAAAGCTTTGAGAATCTTACGTGGGGGAGGTCCCATCGCAGGGTTATAAGGTGGTGGCTTTTCGTTCATGTTTGTCTCTCACTGACTCTGTAGAACACCAGATTCAAAGGTCACTAGTCTGGAAAAAAAGAGAAAAATGAAACTGAATGTCAAAAATGCATATCATATTGACATGTGTCTTCATAACCGGCAAAATCTAAACCAGGTATGACGTTTACAAATAATTACTTATTTCATGCAAACTACTTTAATTTCCTATTCTATATGTACATGTATACCAACTTAACTAACTATAGTTAATTATTTACAGTCACACTGGTAACACCATACAACTAAAATGATTACAACTAAATCATTCATTGTACCACTTTTCACTCACTTCTTTTATAGCTAGTCTATATAGAGTATGTTCTATGATAAGCTAATGAGAGATTTCTAAACATCTTAACAGAAAACAAAAAATCAGTGAATGGCAATCATTAAAAAAATAATTAGAGGCATTATTTTGTTGTCTAAACTTCCTTTTATGCGCATGATTTTTAAAATCCTTATCATTAGTTGAAAGTCACTATAATCTGTATTCAGACACAAATATCCAACTTGTATTGTGTAAGTGAAAATTTACAATAAGGATTAAAGATATTAAGGTTATAAAAGACAACTCTTTCAATACTTGACTTAAGTATGCACCTACACAGTAACTGAAAGGTAAAACTTCAATTCTTTCACCTGACAAATATGTCATTTACATAATCCATTGTATTTGATCAACATAGTATAGATTCTAGGAAACTAACAAAAAGAAATGAAGAAAGACTCAAATAATATGTATATGTACCTTACTACCAAACAGACTCTGTTACCAGGGATTATATAACAAATATCAATTTAAATCACAAAATTCTGAAGTATTGCAAGATACAGATGTATCCATATGCAATTTGATGCTCCTCTGCTATGAGTTGTGTTAATACTATTTTGCATTTTGATGACAAGGTACAAGCTAGTCCACATTGGACCCAAGTGACAGGGCCATCAGACCCTGAAAAAATTTGGCCAAGGACTGGGTGATATGGATATGCAATCATGAAAAAGTTTGGCTCAGGGACAGGGTGACACGTGACTTGCCACAACTGTGCAAAGATCTTGGAGGCTGATAAGACACACTGGGCATTTAGGAAGTGGTTCTTGCATCATTTCCATCTTAAACGAGTGCCGAATGTACCATCCCCGAGCCATGATAGGAAGAGTGCCAACTCCAGATAGGACACTTTCCATGCTCAATATCCAATTCCTACCCACCACTTGTTCATATGAGTTAGGGCTTATAAGCTACACAGCCAGGAGTCACCAATTAAGTAAGCCTAAGGTCAGGATTTTGGGTCGCATGCAGGCAGTGAGACAACCAGATCCAATGGGTTAATTTTCCTTACAAATAGATATCTCAGCAAGAGGTAAGAGACCAAGTAAGATTTTGATTTCTATTTCTTGATGCTATTAGTATTGGTGATATAATAATACCAATGTCAATAATAATAATAATAATAATAATAATAATAATAATAATAATAATAATAATAATGATGATAATAATTATAATAATGATAACGATAATGATAATGATTATAATAATATCAACAATAATAACAATGACATTCATAGCACAGAGAGAAAAAAAAAAAAAAAAAAAAAAAAATAAAGGAATCAGTCGCTAATTATGTGAAGCAAAAATCACACTGGAAGTGTCACTCTCCCTAGGACTTGTAAGAAAACAACTTGTCAAGGCCCTCAACCTCAGCCTCTTCATAGGATCAGTTTCAGGGAGTGATGAAAGCAAAATCCGGCAGACCACCTGTCTAAAGTACCGGCAGTCCGAGATGTGCTGGCAGAATAGAAATAGGAAGGTGGCTTTGGTATGTCTTGTGGGTGCAGCGTTACATTTTTTTTCTTTTTCACTAGTAAATGAATATGATTTGTTTTTGTCTTCCTGTAAATCTACAATACTTCTATCACAAGAAAGGCAGAGAACATAATGAACTAATATTATACAGTAATTTCTGTCACTTAAAACATTGACAAAGCCTACTAGACAAGTCATGATATGGTAAACACTGCAAACTTAAGAAAACACAAAACGATCTCCAGTATTTCAAGTGAATGAAAAAGACCACAATTGGCTGTGACACGTCATCCACTTACTCTGATATAAAACCTCTCAGGAGTGCCACACATTTAGCGTTAATGCCTATCCTGGAGGGTCTAGTTCGCAGATCTATCCCCATCTTTGATTGGTTAAGATTACCGTATTAATTAAACTTAAGAACATATGTATTACTATAGATTAATATGCCAAAGGTTATCAGCATAATTACTCTATGATTAGAGCTTAAATATTACCATGATAAAATCAATCACAGTGAAATATCCATAACAGACCAGAATGTTCATAGGCCTATATTACTAATTACTTAGGAAAGTACGGAAGTCCACAAAATATTATCCACATATTCAAACTAGTCACATTTATACAACTCATTTCTTTCTAGAAGTCAGGTATTTCTACATCCCTTCATGAGGGTTTGGTATTTCTACATGTCTTATGGGAATTTGAGTATTTCTACACAGAACTTTTTTCAAGAAGGTCAAGAAACTGCATGGTAAAATTCTGACAAGATGGGAGTTCCAACAAGATTGTCAATTGACGACACTTATTACCTGTACTGAATAATTCTACAGACAACATATTGCATTAAAATATTTACCAATATAACAACACAAACCACAGGATCCCCAAAAGAACGGAAACAATTATTTACAAACCACATAAATACCTTAGAAATACCCATGAACAATGAACGGAATACAAGTAAACCACACCAGTATGAACACAATACCTACTAACCATCACGTGCCACGCATTCCAATACCTACAAAAGGCATGACAATCTAACACAACAAGAAAACATTATCAAGACAAACCTTCAATATGTTACAAAATCCCTCCAAATCACGTTACACCTCTCTATTCAATCCACACACTTATAAAGCATGTCCATTCATAAAACCCTTACTATCTATCAGCTTCTGTTTCCCGTTGACACTGCTTCTCTCACTCTCTCTCTAGACTTTAATCTCGTGAATGTGAGGAGTTGCGTTCTGTCGCCATCATATGATCATGACAGGATGGCTTCGCGGAGGGCAAGGAAGCGACACTCTCAGTGGTAAGGGATAACGCGGGTTTGTAGTTTGGAGTTTCGTCAACAGATGGCGTGGTGTGAAGGTAGGTTATGTTTACGTGTTTAGTTATTTACTAATTCATCTATTTATATATTCTGAGTTGTATTGATTTTCCTTTTGGCAATGGTGCAATTGATAATAATGATTATCATAATGATGGTAATGAATAACATTATTCTAGCACAGAAACAAAGACCATACTTCTACTGCCGATCTTGCTTACACGCACACACACACTTATATAACGCATGTACGCATGTCTATTGCTTTACCTGTTTATTCGTCTCTTCCTGTCACACTAAACATACCAATATCGTACTTCTTTCCCCTTCCGCAAGAGCTAAGTATAACAAGCACTTTCATTTTAATCATCGTAGACCAGTGTGCAATACGACAAGCAGACTTCCTGCAGGGAGCCAAGGAACAGCCTCACTCCAGCATTTCTCCTCCGAAAAGGAGTCAATACATCTTGGTTGTCTGTTTTACGACCTAAGCTTACCTTTCATCACAATGTAGGGACCATCTCTCGGGCACCAATTAAAAGTTAAAAAGAAATGTCCAGAAGCGCTCTAAAATAAACGACAATTTCTAAATTGGCACCTCAACCGGAAGGTCGCCACAAGATACGGAGAAGTTTCCGTTCCTTCTACGCTGATTCATCAGCTGACACAAATGTACACAAAAGCAGTCTTCGTAGAGTTTACAATTAGGAAATATATTTTTCATTTACAAAACGATGACAAAGTACATTTCTTATGTTTTGGTTTATATGCATAAGATAATTATTATATATGCGAAGCACAATTAATCTGTCACGAATAGCGATTTATCATTATTAAAAAATGTTACAAGGAAAGTTGTAACTTTGTTCAAGAAATAAAACCCAAAATCTTAATAATAAATTGAACATCTACTTTGTTGTACAATCACCATATTACTATTAATTTAGTTGAAATCACATTAAAACAGCATGTACTTGTTGGTACTAATTAAACTACAAAGGGACATGTATGATTGCACAACCATATGCAAGGATCGGGTTTCATGTAAACGACACTGGGAACAATGATTTTGCAGACGCACACACACACACACACACACACACACACACACACACACACACACACACACACACACACACACACACACACACACACACACACACACACACACACACACACACACACACACACACACACACACACACACACACACACACACACACACAGATGTAGAAAAGTATGAATGAAAATGAATATCGCCACATTACAAGAGATGTATTTGATCGGTTTCGAAGCAATCCGGGCAGTCGAAAGGGTCATCAGCTCCAAGGCCGACGAGCTTCCGCTGCCAAACTAACACTCCGTAAGCCTCGTGAAGTTAGAAGAATGCCAACAAATCGGCGATATTGCCATGGGCTCCCCTCTGAGCGCAATCCTGGCCTACCTCTTCATGAAGACATTAGAGAAGGGCCACTACAGGGGTATAATCGACAGACAATCAACTTGGCTTCGATACGTAGATGATGTCCTCGTCATTCTCCCCAGAAGGTCGTGTCTACAACATACGCTGACGCAGTTAAACTCCGTCCACGAGAAAATCCAGTTTACCGTGGAGGAGGAAGTGGATCAGAAGTTACTTTTCCTGGACACTGATCCATCGGGTGACGACGACCTACGTTTCTCTATATAAAGTAAACCTACAAATAAAGGCGATTATATCCACTATTAACCCCCTCCCCCCCGTAGCAATAAAACAATATCTGGGGTTGTAATTGGCTTCTTCCTCCGGGCACTGAGGATCTGTAGCCCTGAATTTCTTGAGACTGAGGTTACCTATGTAACTGATTCTTTAATGAAACATAAATATCCCAAAGGCTCCCTGCTAAACCTCAGAAAGAAGGCGGAGAACATACTTATCAGATCAGAGCCTGCGACATCCAATTTCCTCGTATTACCGCCATGTGACGTTTCCCAGGCGATTAGCAAATACTTTGGCAACACGGTGAAAATCTCCAGCACATCCAGTGAAAAGATGACTAAATACGAGACAAGAAGCCCCCCCCCCCAAAAAAAAAAAAAAAAGCAAGCCCAACAGTGCAGTATATCGCATACCCTGCAGAAGTTGCGATAAGGCCTACTTTAGTGAAACGGGACGTGGCTTCAACACCAGGATCAATGAACATCGAGTCGACGTCCGTCACCACAGGACTTCAACGCTAAAGTTGTTCATGTAGATAAAGCTAGACATCTACCGAATTGGAAGGAAGCTGAAGTAATCCATGAAGGGCTGAACAATCAAAAGGAAAGTCCTGGAAGCTGCATGTTTCACGACAGAGAATATAGACACCGCACCGGACAGATTCAAACTATCCAAGGTCGCGGCAGCAATTATGTGTATATCGAGTTCGAGATCACAATCGTCAGGTGATTCATCAGCTCCTATGTAATATAAACATGTTATGTATTTTCTCTTACGTATGTGTTTCTGACGAAGTTATATTCGAAACCGATCAAATGCATCTTGTATTGTGAAAATATTCATTTTCATTCATAATTTTCTACATTTGTCAACATGAATACGGTTTACGCACAGACACATAATACAAGATGATTCAGCATACTATTACATAAGAGAGGAGAGAGAGAGAGAGAGAGAGAGAGGTGTGTGTGTGTGTGTGTGTGTGTGTGTGTGTGTGTGTGTGTGTGTGTGTGTGTGTGTGTGTGCGTGCGTGCGTGCGTGCGTGCGTGCGTGCGTGCGTGCGTGCGTGCGTGATTTATAAGATTATTCAGCTTTACATACAGTAAAATGGAAATGGGATCTGTCCACCAGTTTCCAGTAGTTGTAGGGATGGATGTATTCTGAACCTTGTACAGACAAAATTCTTTAGAAATACACGAATAGATACGACTTTAAACTGTATTCTATGTTACTCGCAAGTCTGGAGCTGTTTGTACCGAACCCACCAGTTCCCAAAATACTTAAATATTCCCAGATAGTGCAAGTGACAGAGGAAGATATTTGATCCAGCACATTTTGTATAGGCCTACTACTTTCATGATGGTATCTTTAACGCATTCACACACGATCAAGCGTTGGTGCTAACACATAACAATACATAGAGCACACCAGCTGAGATATGGTACAGACATGTGGGCAGGCATTATTTGTGATTACATTATCTAGCCTTACCAGTTACCACAGAGGCTGATATGTGACGTGTGTAGGCAGCCCTCCTCGACGAAACAGTCTCAATATTACAGGATGTGCCGCTCGATACAAGGTCCTGTACTTATCTATTACTTACCTAGACCATGTTGCAATACACGACGTTGCATGTGGCTCGCGTCCCATGATCAAAGTATCAGTTAATACTTTTCAACTGAACAGGTGGATAGGACGTGTTGGTGCCATTCGTGAGTCATTCAGCTCTCCGAATACGATCCTACTAGATTATTATCGTTGTTGTTGTTATTATTATTATTATTATTATTATTATTATTATTATTATTATTATTATTATTATTTATTTATTATTATTATATTATTATTTATTATTATTATTATTTAGCTTTGATGTCTTTCACAGACGTTAGTACAGGCATTTTTTTTTAGAAATATTAGAAATACACGAAAAGATACTACTTTAAACTTTATTCCAGGTTACTCGCGAATCTGGAGGTGTTTATACAGTCAAGAGCAGGTATTATTTCTGATTACAATATCGGACCTTACCAGTTACCACAAAGGCTGATATGTGATGTGTAGGTAGACACTATCTATACTGCTTCAGGATGTGCCACTCGATGCAAGGTCCAGTACTTATCTATTACTTATCTAGGCCTAGGTACAATGCACGACGTTGCATGTGGCTCGCAGACGATAATCAAAGCATCAGGTAATAC